TAATATTTCAAGCCCATCCCGGGCCCGAGCTGACCTGCATATATTTAAACTTATACATTTTGTGTATAATGTATACATATGTATACATGTTATTTTACATTAGATTATATATTTTATATGTAAATATTATAATATAACATGTATAATTTATATTATATGTAATATAATATTATATAATGTATAAAATAAGTTTATATGCATGTTATGTCATTTAATATAAAATATTATAGATAAATAATGTTTTATATATGAAAGATATTGGCCCAAAATCAAGCCTAACCTGGACCGGGCCCATGTAGACCTGGGCTAGGGCTTATGTTTTAGGATTGGAACTCTAGGCCAAACCGGGCCCGGGCCTAAGCTATAGCCCTTACCATAAGTGCAAAGCCCATCCCCGGCTCGGCCCAGCCGATGATCACCCCTAGTCTATGACCAAAATTGATTGGTCTGGAAGTATCCAGGAGAAGCGGAGAATGGGAGATTAGTCAGAGTTTCTTCTTGAAATTCCCTTCTCCAAGTGTTGTTTATAAGAATGTAGTCATGGCGCTCCCAGGTAGACCCATTTTTTCCATGTAAATTGGGGACCAAGCATGTTCATTTCAAGTAAACTGTAGTCATTGATCATGCTGTTAAAATCTCAAGTTTGGTATGGACATACAGGTCTCCCACCACGTTTGTTTTCACTTGCACGAATGGAGTTTTAGTCCCCAATAAGGATCCATACATTATCTCTATTTTCTGCAATAAATCTAAACCAATCCATGATTTGTTGCTCTGGTTTAGAGGGAGGGGCATACGAATTAAATGGTATAGAACCATGACTTGCTATTGGTTTTATTCGTGATGTGGGTATGTACAAATCTCTCATTTTACCATGGTTTTCAAAATCGGATTGGACCTAACGGTAAGACCAAAAAATCCAGGAATCGGTCCGTTTTACCCTATAACTGTTATTTCGCCAAAAATCGTTGATTTGGTCAGCAAACCATTGACCCAGGCGATCAAACTGTTCAAACTGTTCAAATCATTTGAACCGTCCAACAATTTTGGCCATTTTTATTTTTTTAATTTTTTGTTAAAATAAGCCATCCGTTTCATTTGAACAATCGGATCGTTCGACCCGAGAACCAAACCCTTAACTGGTTCATTATCCGGTTCAGTTTTAAAAACCTTGCATTTAACAAAATAATGTCGATTAAGAACGCTTTCCATCTGAGGACCTGTGTTGTCCTTGTAACGCTTTCTTCATTTTATTGTTCATCCAAGAGGTCATCGTTTCGCAGGTTGTCAAAGTCTTCCTCTCCGACTTGGCCATCCCAGTCACCCATGCCTTCGTTCCCATTGATTTCTCCTTTTTCATTGATTGGTTCACCGAATTCATCACTGTCGTGTTGCTTCAATTCCTTGTGGTTTGTCTTTAAGAAAGGCAAGCCTTACTTTGAGCTGTGTGTTCATGATATTTCTGGACCCATTATTGCTGCTTTGATTTTGTGGGTACTTTGGGAAAAGCAGCAGAAAGGATTATGGGGATGTTTGGAACTGTGGCTGTTTTTCAGAATCACGTTGGATTTATATAAAAGTTTAAACAAATGTCCTTATATTTCATTGTTTGGTTCAAGAGTTTATTGAAAAATTGGACATGCCTCGTAAATCGGGACCCTGCTGATGCGTTTTATGGATGGTGAACCGTTGCCCCCAACAGTTAACTGAGTTGACAAATAGTGTATCCTACATGGCGCTTATGTATAGTCTGAATTGACACTAGTGGGAATGTTCTAGTGCTTCTCGGCCCTCTTGAACTTGATCTTCAATGGTTGAATCCAGAATGCAGAGCCAAGTGTCTGAATCCATCCTGGATAACAATGCCCAGTTCTCCGCATACTAGTCTGCAGAAATCGCAGGTAGTAGGGCATAAAACAAGCTTCTAATCGTCACCGTATCTCTCAATTGTGAACCAATTGCTTAGCGTTCCATGGCCTGGGTTTCCTACAGACCCACATGTGTATACAGAATACGTATTGGTTGATTCGTCCAAGACTCTGAGGCTCCACACGGTTGGTTGTAGGAGAATTGTCTAGATGGCAAACCTGATGCTGTGATCTGTGGACACACGGATGATCTCCTCCATGGGGTTCACCGGGCGAGAACGAGAGTGGGAGACTGCCGGACTCCTCGCCTTCATCTTGGATGACATCAAATGGACATGTGCCGTTCTGGGTGCTCTCAAAGTTCAGCCCACCAGCCATACCCGAGATGGCAGGCAAGATGTAGTACGTGGCTGTTGAATATAGCTGGCGACCCATTGTGTCAAGTACAGCTTCCGGTTCATCTTGGGCCATCACCGGCGACCATTTTGCGGCCAGAGCCAAGAGGAAGAGAGAAAGCAGCAGAAACAGCAAAGGAATCTTCATTGTTCACTCGGCATTTTCCATGTCTGATCACAGCTAAAAGAGGATGAATGGAATGATGCAAAGATTACATGGAGAAGGTTCTCATAAATATAGAGAAATATTGCAAACTTGTATTAGATAAGATGAATTAGAAGAAGTTTAACTTCTGCTTTTGAAAATAAGCTCCACTATATACATTTGAAAAGTCCTGCCAGAAATTATAAAACAACCATCCAATTAATCTGGACGATTTGATAAACACCGTTATATAATTTGGTATGATATTGGCGTGCATCATCTTATAGGGTATAAGATAATGTGTGTACATACATGAAAAACAATGATGAAAATCATCTTACCAAACAACATAGTATTGCTCACTCCCTACTTAGCAGAAACACTCCCAAACAAAAATAAGGCATTTTTTTTCCAAAAAAAGGGTCTTAGAAGCATGGGCGTTTTTTCTTGAAATCGATCCCAAAAACGCCCACGCTTCCAAACACCATGTATTGTAGCATGATTAACGTTGAAAATTTTTGCTCTAGGAAAGATGATAGAGACTTTTGATTTTGTAGGACACACACTCCTTTCTCCATGATTCAGAACAATCAACCCCAACAAAAGTCTCTAATAATAAGCGCATTCATGCGGTGAGAAAGAGATGTAGGCAATAAAGATGTAGTCATGATGAAATAAGTGGTTAAGGCTCCATTCGGAAGGAGTACGAGTGCAAAATCATGTATTTTGTATTATTTTATATATATTTGTATTTGTACTCCTTCCATACTGAGCCTAAGGAGAAAGTGTAGATTTTAATTTATTAACATTGATCTCCCCTGCATGAGAAAGAGGCAGGTAACTTTCCATCCCTGACTGCAACTTTTCAAAGATAAAATAGAAACCACCGCTATTATTATATTGAAATTAATGGATCTTAAGATGCTATTGTTACGTGGCTATTATTATATTGAAATTAATGGATCTTAAAATAGAAACCACCGCTATTGTTACGTTACGTGGCTCCATTTTATAGAGGTTTTGAGAAAAGTTATTTGAATGACAAAAATTGATCCAACTTGGGGTGTTCTACAGTGTAGATGAGAAATTGGGTGTGCTTGTGATGTGGATGTAAAGACATCATATCTCAATAGGGTGGTTGTTCTGAATCATGTACAAAGAAGTGTGGATTGAACCACACCATACCCCCATAGGCATTCTTCAATTGCGTGGTGCATTATCTACACCTTGTGTTTTGATTCCATGTATCCCATCCTATAACATGTGAGGTGATCTATGTTGTTAATTAGAAAAAAATAATATTTTATTTTTTAGCAAATTGATAAGAGTTTATGAAGTTATTAATATTCTAAACTTAAATACAATTTAAAAATTAATAAACATTATAAAAAGCAAAAAAATCATTAGGTTACCAAGAGCACTAATTTTATACAAAAATAATAATTAATAGAATATATACACATATTCAATTAAGAAATGTACATAACATTAAATATTATATAACAGGAAAAAAACAATATTTTATTTTTAGGATAATTTGCATGGAATCACTGATCACTCTTGGTAAGAAATTCCACAATAGTGTGGATCAATCCATGATAAAAACCCATGGACGAAAAATTAGGCTGTGGGTGTAGACCAATCCACATGCATTTCAAAACACAATATATCATGGTCAGACCAAGATACCAAACACCACCTTGGTCACTCTACATATAGACAACAAATGGGCAATTTCGTAATTGCCCACTCAATTGTTGATAACATGGGGGTGTGGAAAGTTGTGTTTTTATAGGGTAATCTGAGGCAAAATAAAAAATAAAAAATTAAACAAAAATGTAGGGAAGTAAGTGGTAGATCCCCTCTCGGCAACCATGGATCGGGGGTATGTGGAATTTACCTTATAAATTATGCCGGAAATAAAGGATTTCTTAATTGGGTTAATAAGTTGGGACGTTTCCTACACCACCAACCCTTTTTAAGCCAAGGAACAGGAAACATTGTAGATTAGCCACATATTGGAAATCTCAACTAACAATCTTATTTCTTTTAATATTGTAATATTGTCCATTAGAGAGGGCTCATCCTAGCTAGACACATGGCTGAGAGTTTTTACCCCAAATTTTCTCATGAGTTCTGATTGTAGGAAGGAAAATATGTGGTTAATTTGGGGAAAAACCAACTTCCCACACTAAAGATTTCCGGTGGTTCAGCCTTCTTCACCATACTACCTGATTAATATAACAAACTGATTACTGAATTTATGATATTTTATTTCTGTTCCTTAAAAATAAGCTGTTTCATATGTGAAATCCTGTGGGCGTGGAACTCAGAAGTAGGTGGCCTTCGTCCATCCATTGGAATTATTTATTCCCATCCCTGTCACCTTAGAAGTTTTTAATGTACATTTTATGGATGTTATCCTGTTCTGAGTTGGTGTTAAATGTATAATATGTTGATTTCAACTCAGTAGACTTATCTAAGGACCACCATTGAAACGCTTCTCTCTATATAGAACTGCATTTCATCTCATCTCTTGTTTGCTTTCTTTCATCCCTCATCAGAGTCATGTCTGGTTTCTCCTACAAATCCATGGCTTTATTCCTTACCTTGATGATTATTTTGGGCTTATGTTTAATATCTACACTTGCCGAGCTCCAGCGTCTTGAACACTCACCAAACGCAGATGGGTCACTTAGCTTTTTGGTCGTAGGAGATTGGGGCAGAAAAGGGGCTCATAATCAATCTGAAGTTGCTCACCAGGTCATTGAATTTTAATTTCTTTCTCTATTTCAATTTGTTGAACGTAAATATTTGGATGATTTATTGCTTTCTTTTCTTCTTCTAGAGTTCTTTTTGGGTACTTCTACGTTATTTTGAAGGACTTGTCTACTAAGTAAGAATTCATTTCCCTGTTATATATATGCTTTTCAATATCTGTTCATATCCTAAACAATTTAGTAACATATTTCCACTGAGAAAAGAGGATGATCGACTCCCTTTGCATTCATTTCTATTTTCTTTGTTTCTATCTTCCTTACTTTCTTATATGTGAAGTTATGGTTCCGTTTAGTCCTTCCTAGATGGTTATTACCAAGTATTAATTTCATGTGCTACGACATAACTTCTATTTATTGGCTATTGATGGGAAGGGTTGGATCAAAGCTCAACATAAATTTTGTTATCTCAACTGGGGATAATTTTTACGAAGAAGGGCTGAAGGGTGTTGAAGATACAGCTTTTGAAGAGTCATTTACCAAGATATACACTGATAAAAGCTTACAGAAACAATGGTACAGTGGTGAGTTTAAATTGTAATAGGTTAAGAACATTATCTTTTGAAAAGGTTTATTGTTTATAAGAACAGAAATTCTTTATGCAGTTTTGGGGAACCATGACTACATGGGCGATGCGGAGGCAGAACTGAGCTCAAACCTTACACTCAAAGATACCAGATGGCTGTGCTTGAGATCTTACATTGTTAATGCTAGTGAGATAACTCTCCTGTGTAGAGCTTTTTCTGTAATTCCTCTCTTTGATAAAAATCTAAGAAGCCAACTGAGGTTATTATTTTTTTTTTCTTTCCTATTCGACAGAAATTGCAGAGTTTTTCTTCATCGACACAACCCCTTTTGCTGATGAATATTTTACTATCGACCCATCAGAAGATCAGGTCTTTGATTGGAGAGGTGTTCTCCCTAGAAAAAACTATACTTCAAACCTTCTTAAGGTACATAAATAATTGTGTATGGGGCCCATTTCCATGACAGAGGAAAACCAGTCAGGTAAAGAATTGATTATGTATCATTCAATGGGTTTTAATTTGTGGATAGGATGTAGAGTCAGCTTTGAGAGCTTCAGCCGCAAAGTGGAAGATCGTCATTGGTCACCACCCTATTAGAAGCTTCGGGACTCATGGCGACACCCAAGAGCTTGTAGAGCAGCTTCTTCCCATTCTTCAGGTATGTAAAATCTCAGAGGAGGTAGAAAGAATGCATTAATAGATTATTATCTCTGAGAATTACATCATAAGAATAAACTAAGAAGAATAAAAAACAATTCAAATCAAACTCTGTCTTAATTTATCGCAAGCACTTCATCTCAATCTTATCATAACTTGACCACTTTATTTTAATGGATCTTATTCCCTAACATGTAAAATCTCATAGAAGGTAGAAAGAATTCATTGATTATCAAATTTGAGAATTACATCGATTTCTTTTTTTTGTACATAAATTACTCCGATTGAGAAAGATAGAATCAATTCAAATCAAACTCTATGGGAATCAAATATCTTAATGTGTTTGATCAAGGGAGTGTTCTATAGTGTGATTGAGAAATTGGGTGGTGTGGTCTCAACCACACCAAACCATAGCAGAATAGGCATTCTTTACTGTGGTCAAAATTTGGTAATCTGAACCACACGACACTTATATAGGTGTTCTGCAAGATGTTGTGTGGTTCAGGTCGCACCCTGTATTTTGTTTCGGTGTATTTCACATACACAATGTAAAGTGATCTACACTGCCAATCAATTAAAAGTAATATTTGTCTGTGTTTTTAAGCAAAGTGCAAATCAATAGTATGAATTAATTTAACATGTGATAAAAAAATATAAACAAATTTAAAATTAATATTGATTAAAAAAATAAAACATTAATAAGAATAAAATTAATAAAATAAAAATACTAATAATAAATTAAAAAAGAGGAGGGTTTTAGCAAAAATAGCGGGGCAAGGCGCCTACAGCATCTTGGGACGCATAGATTTCAAAAAGTTACCCAAAAGAAAAAAAAAATCACCACAATCAGACATCAGAGTGCAAAATTATGGCCTCACAAAGTTTGCATACACAGTTAGTGTGCAACCTATGACCTGATCATCATGTCAAATGGCTCAACGGTCCAATCGTCTAGGTTGGACAGTTTTAACCAAGTTAACAGTTTCCAACCGTCCACCGGATCGAATGGGTCAATGGTCCAACCGTCTGGGTCAAATGGTTTTTGACTAAGTCAACGGTTTTCAACTATCCACTAGGTTTTACTAAAATCGGATCAGGAATCTTGACCGAGTGATGGTTCAAATGGTTCAATCGACATGGTCAACAACAAATTGAAAACACTTCATAAGAGAACTAATAAAATATAATTGATTAATTATAATTTAAAATATTAAAAATGAGTCTACGAAGCACCATAACCAGTGTTGGGGTTATAGTACCCCGCGGCATGGTTGAGGCTACGAGAAAAACCTATGGCCGATATCTGAGATCAAATCAGCCCTTCACAATGTCCCACAGCACATCCCCGCCATGCATTGGAAACACTACTCTGTTTGAAGAATGCAAACACTACTTCAATGCATATATATACCCTGCAGATTCAATTTTGCAGGCATTTTTACGTTATGCAAGAGTGAACCAGCTAATATACCAACGAACCACCCCTCATCAGTTGGTACAACTTTGTACGTAGGCATTTGATAATAATGCATTTGTGTATTAAAAATAACAAAAATTATAAATTTCAATACATGTTTACACTCAAAGTTGATCAATTTTGAAAATGTTTGTTTCTAATCTTGGAATTTGTATTTATTCCTATCAAAACTAAAACTAAAAATTATTTGGCAAGAGTTCAAATTTATTTTTGCAAAATTAAACCAACTTTACATTTTTATGAACCAAACATAGGCAAATAGATCAAGAACAAACATAGGCAAGGCCAATGGACTTTTTCTAGCCGAAAAGATGATAAATGGGCCTCAGCGGGCCAAATAGAGAAGCACAATACCCCATGTATTTACCATAGAATTCATTACAAATATACGCTTGTTATTGGGGTTGAAGCTGCAGTACAGAGAGACTAACAAGCAAACTGTAAAATCTGTAGTATTATTACAAATATGTAGAGTGCAAAACCTTGTGTTTTATATTATTTTGTATCTATATATATTTATACTATTTCCAAATTGAGCCTTAAGTTGAAAGCTGCAGACAAATCAAAGTTTCAACCTTCTGACAGAGAAGGTAGAAAGAATGCATTAACTTGATAATTATATAAATCGAGAAGGATTAAATCAACTCAAGTCAGAATCTATACCAATCAATCCTAATCCAACTCATCTCAATCTTATAATAATTCAACCACTTTATTATTATCTTATTCCCTAATAAGGCAATCAAGAGAACGAGACAGAGAGAGAATTAAAATAATTAATTAGTACCATAGCTATATATAATAAATTTTCTTAGTTAATCACATTATCAGTACACAGGCCAACAATGTTGATATGTACATGAATGGGCACGACCATTGCCTGATGCGCATCAGTAGCCCAGTAAGGTAAACTTGTTTATAACTGTTGAGTTAATTAATATGTGCCAAGGTCAATTTTACAAAGTGAAATTGGGGTGTGGAATGCAGTCCAATCCAATTTTTGACTAGTGGGGCTGGTTCAGAAGCGTGGATTTGTGATGCTGTCTTGAACAGAGATGGAGTGAAATTCCACTACCCCGGCCAAGGTTTCATCTCTGTGGAGATGACTCAGACTCATGCCAAGGTCGTGTTCTATGATGTCTTCGGCAAAGTTTTGCACAGTTGGAGTGCATCCAAGAAGGTCTGTTCAGTCATGGGCTTCAACCTATAATAATTAAATTCACCTCAACTCTGCCTTAATTACAATTCATTAATTGAGGTCTGAATCGTCTCTGATAAAACTTTGCTTTATAGTTTGGTATGCATTTCATCGCAATACTGATATCGAAAACAGCAAGAAAACTTTAAACTTTGCCTCATTAAAATAGCAAGAAAAAGACAAATTATTTTTTTTGCATGACATTAATTAATCAAAATGAGTTCTACTATACTAATCACAAATATATAATTCAATGGGGTTAAAATTCTTAATCATTATCAACGTAAAAATTGTGGAATTATTTGTTAGTGATATTGGTTATATCAAATATAAGTGACCTATTATATAAAACTAATCAATCATGAATTATATTTAATATTAAAATGAGTGAGAAGGGATGGCAACCAGGTGGATTTAGGGATGGCAAACCCTATACGCACATGAAAAATAAAAAATTCAAAACCCTATCAAAGGGAGTTATGTCGCTTTTTGTGTTAACAATTGATTTGGTTTCACTTTATCCGGTTTGTTTTCTTGAATGATGGAACCCTAATTCATTTTTAGTACTTTTATAATTTATAATTAATGATAAAAACATAGAAATTAAGATCAGATTGGCGATTTATTTAGTTTTTTTTTTTTTGAATTAATTGTTCATTTTTGTCAGGAGAGGGGCTCCAACTGCATCTATTCTGTCTGCTTTGTATTTTTCTGTTATTACCTTAGGAGAGCGATGGGAAAATGTAACAGGTTAGGTTTTGTTTTTTGTTTTGTATTTCTTTCTTTCCTGCGATATATATGTTCAGATATGATGTGCTGAAACCTTTCCACCAGGAACGAGATTCTTCTCAACTTCCCTCCTCGCAGAGTCTCGAAACATCCCCAGTTCATCATCTCTTCTCGCCCTCTAATCTCCTCTCGCCCTCGTCGTCTTCCTTCTACTTCACCTTTGTAAGTTCTTATCCATATATTCCCATTGAAGAAACCAGTCATGGAATTTTACGAGAAGAAAAGACAACTGATGCCTATTGATCTGCTTCATTCATGCTATTTTGTGAAGACAAACTCTTTCTACTTTTCCTTTATTTATACCTTTGTAAATTCTGTAATGCTTATTTATGCTTTCGTAAGTCCAAAATTTCGTCCACTCTATTCACCTATCTCACGTGCAAATGCCTATAATGAAAAACCCTTTTGGTTTTTCATTTGTATGCTAAAACTAGAAATAAGAGGTCAACCCTTTTTTTGTGGGGTTCAAATGAACAGAGTGGGTGCTTCTTCTTCACCCTCTATTTGTGATCGGAAATTTTTTTTCATCTCAAATTAATGGCTGTGATGAACTAGGTAGAACTCCAGACTTGTATATTCAAGGGTTCAGCGTGAGAAAGAAAAACCAAAAAACTAAATTGAATTGAAAATTCGGTTAACCAAACTGGTTAGTTCAGTTTCAGTTTGATATTTTGAAAAAATCAAAGGTACTGGTTTGATTTCAGTTAACCAATATAGAAAACCGACGGTTAATTGAACAATGAACAGACCGGTATACATATATCTTATATTATATATATATATGTATATTATATATATTTTTATATTTTTTATATATTATAAAATAATAAATGTATTATATATATATATATTTATAATATATAACATATTATTTATTATTTAAAATATAATATTATATATTTATATATTTTTTATAATATATATTGTAAAAACAAAATAAAATGACAAACAGACAAACCGAACCACCAATTAATCAAACTGGTCAACTTGCTAATCGATCGGCTTCTATTCAGTTTTGATTACCAGCTTTCCATAAACCAGTAGTACCAATTTGGTCTCAAAAATAGGCCCATGGTTCAGTTAACCGAATCGTAAACACCCTTAATCAAGACCAATCTTTATATTATCTCATTTACAAGGTACAAAGTTGTGGAATGAAAAAACCAGCATAATGGGATGACTTTTAACCATATTATTATATATCTTTGAAAACTAGTTTTCTGATATAATGTATAACATCAATATATCTATACATCTATATTATTTATATAAAGCTGATATTCTCCTTAGTTTTGGTGCAGGTCATAAAAGCTAAATCAAGAATATCGTATAGGTTAACCTATATTTCTACCCTTTCATCTCATCTTTACTCGTGCCTATCACATGCCAATGAAATAGTAAATATAATCAGTGTGCATTTCCCACCATCTCAAAGAGACATGAGATGATGGAAATTCAAAAACGATTGTTTTATGTTTTTCTTTTTTTAAAGTTTAAAACATATGGGGAGGGCACTTTGGTAATTATAGCTCAACTAAAAAGGTTGAAATGAAAATGGTAATAGAGAAAATAGAGCTCTCTTTATCTCATGGGGTTTTAGAAGAGTTCAATGCACCAAGGAGACCAAAAAGAACCTTCACCAATCTCTCTTCAAGTCTTCATTCTTGGTCAGATCAAGTGGGATTTTTCTCTTAAAATTGTACACTTTTGGTTGGTTAGATATCTAGCATCCTAATTTTGTCATTTCTTTTCTATTTTTGATTTTTGCTACAAGAAAAATACTATCTAGCCTATTTTTATCTCTCAATTCTCTCTTTTAATTTTTTGTTTTTTATAGATTAAACTAATTAATTTATTTTCCTTCTTCTAAACTCCTTGGTAACCAAAAATCTAGTATCAATTAATGGATGACTGATTATAAGATTGGTAAAATAATCTAAAACATATGATTGGTCATTTGATCAAGTTGAAAAATATTAATTTTGAAATTTAGACAACAAAAGGTTTATGGTTGTTATTTAATTAACTATTATTTTGTTGAATGCTAACTAATTATGTGCCACCCTTTTTGAGCCATTACACCTCAACTATGTCTCTAGTCTTTTTAAAAACTTGGAATAGATAGCATTGATGATGCACAATCTGACTACTCCCAGTTCTAGGATGATCTGGTTTCTAATTGGGCAGCGAGCTGGATAAATCTGCAAGATAGTGAATCAGAGAACCCGGGGTGGTGAACCCGGGGTGGCTAACCCGGCGAGGTCACTCCGATGCTTAAGTTAGTATATGCGAGTTGAATGCTTTGAGAATTCGAGAGTTTGAGAGTTAGAGAGTAGAGTGATCACACGTACCTGGGCCCTGGAGGGGTTGTTGCTCTTATATAGATGAGCTGACGTGGGTCTTACGAAACGGTTCTGGGATCTTCGGCCTGTGTGGATGAGAACCGTTTCCTCTTTAGTCGAGGAATAACGTATCAGTCAATGCAGTCTATCGTTTCCACCCGATCCGGGCGGGGAGAGGATAAGGCCTGCCGTTACGTGGCGTGATCCCGTGAGGTTCGGAGTCTGTTGGAGAAACTTATGGAGTCATTACGTGGCAATTCGGGTTGTTAGCCCCGAGCTGATACTCCGGTTCTTTAGTTCCGAACTGGATTGAATGCCGAGGTGCCCCAACGCCAAGGCGAGTTTTGGGCCGAGGTGGCCGAATACCCGAGGTCAAACGTTGTGAACTAAGCTTGCTAGGCTGAGCTATTATCCCTTAGTCAGGTCGTGTCCATGTGTCCCCTTCTCGCTAGGTCGGGCCAAATCACCCTTCATCAAGTATGATTATATATTTAGACTTTTCCTTATTAAAGTAATATTATTGAATTAGATGTCAAAAATCATTTTAGGAGAAAAATAAAGGAAAGATTTTTATTGTTTTCTTTTTATTTAGGTTTCCAATTTGTTTCTACCTAAAACATTGAAACATTTCTGTTTTTTTTCTTTTGGAAAAAGGATGAAAGAAGTCTATACAAGTTTGGACTTTGGAGGTAGGGTGTCAATAGAATTGGATTTGGTCCAATCCATTCCAGTCCAATATGAATCCATTACAGATGGACCAGGTCTAGTCCAATCCGATGAATACTTTGGACCATTTTGGATCGGTCCAATTCAACTCAGTACCATCCAATTTATTCAAATTGGTTTTAATTTAGATTGGCTCCAAATTTAAGTCCATTGAAACGTTAGCAATATTTAATCCTTAAGTCCATTGAAACCTGTATTCTTATCTTCTATCAATGAAGCAGATATTGGTTCAATCCAACCCAATCTAATATAAATTCATCACAAATGGACCAGGTCCAGTCCAATCCAATCCAATAAATATTATTTGAACCATTAACTCTAGACTAGTCAAACTCAATGTCTTATTTGTCTGTCCAATCCATCCAAATTGATTTTGATTTGGATGTGATCCAACCCAAAACTGATCCATTGACATCCCTATCTGGAGGTAGCCCTACCCCAGAAACATAAATAATTTTTGTCATGTTCATCTAGTTGTTTTTCACTTAATCGAAGAAGTTCATTCTCCAAATCCAAATTATGGAAAATCCAATCTAGTACATTTACAACAAAATTACAATCTGATCTAATCCAAATTAATATATGTCAATATCAATATATTATCCGGACATAATATTTGGATTTTAGGACTTATTCAAATGCTTTATTCAAAGCAAACTAGATTATTCTAGAGAATTACATGGCATTTGTTTTGGTAGAACCGGTATGCATCTAAACCACATTCTCTTTGCTGATGATTTATTAATCTTTGGTAAATGTTCCTTTTGATCATGAAGTTGATTGTATTAAAAATCAATTAGATACTTTCTGTAAGTGGTCGGGGCAAGAAGTTAATTATCAAAAGTCAGCCATCTACTTCAGCTCAAACACATACAGACGCATGACATCGATTGAGAATTGCTTCAAACCTTGGGGTTAGAGTTATGGGCTCAACCGAGAAATATCTTGGAAGCCCAATTTTTGTTGATAGATCCAAAAGTATTGGGTGGAATTTTCTTGTTGATAAAATCAAAAGTAAACTTTAGAGTTGGAAAGCAAATACTCTTTCACAAGCTGGGCATACAGTATTAATAAAATCAACTTTGGAAGCCATATCTACGTATCATATGCAAACTCAACTCATGCCAAAAACTGTGTGCAGAGATAAAAACATTGTGTAGAGATTTTTGGTGGAAAGGGCATACTAGGCCAAGACCAATCTATCTCAAGTCCTAGAGCTCTATTTTACGTTGAAAAGATATGGGTGGTTTGGGTCTGACAGATGTTGAGTGGAAGAACAAAGCACTTTTGGGTAAATTTTGTTGGCGTTTTTGCAATACTGAAGAGACTCTTTAGGTTAGACTTCTAAAAGTAAAGTATCTAACAAATCATTCATTTTGGAATGTGAATGAGAAGGGCCAAATTTCCCACACTTGGCTTGTATTATCAATTCACAGAAGTTACTTCTCAAAGGGTTGTAAGTGGATTGTGGGGGATGGCTAGAAAATTAGTATACTTCATGATCCATGGCTTTCTACTGAGGTACATGTCTCTTCTGAAGCTCGATCACCGGGATCTCATCTCCAATTGGAGGGTTGCAAACTTCATTAACTACATGCAAATGACTTGGAGAGAACTTATTAGACATTTCTTTTCCTCATCTGCTGCAGATTCAATCATACAATGTAAGCTCCGCTCCCTACATCATGCTTTTTGTTTTATTGTGGCATTGCATTCATCGAATCTTACCTACCAAGGTATGTCTCTATCGTTATATCAGTGACATTGATCCAGCCTGTCAACTTTGTGTAGAGAATGCTGAAACCATAGAACACATCATTTCTCTATTGTCCAGCGGTCCAACCAATTTGGTTTGGTTCTATTTTAATTTGAGTGGTTGATGTCTTGGTGGAAGGTAGAGAGAAATTTAGATACCCCCGTCTTTCTTCATGGTGCCACTATCCTATGAGGTAGAGGAATAACACCATCTTTAATAATAAACCTTTCAATCAAGAAGCTATTATAAAACATTCTCAAGGTTTATGTGATTTTTACTCGAAGAATGGAAAAAATTGTTACTCTTCCACTACTGAGACTACATTTCCTAGTGAGAACCACTGCTAGCTGAAAATAAATATTGATGGTGCGGTAAGAGAAAATAAAGCTAAAGCTAGTATTTTTATCAAAAATCATAGGGGTGTTCATATTTATTCCTGCCCCAGTTGGTTCCCCTCTTCAAAACCGAAGTTGTTGCATTCCTCATGGGTATCAAATTTGTTGTTGAGTTGCAACTTGACAATATGGCTTTTGCTCTTATTGGTGGATTCCTCAAACCCCCAACCTGGTGTGTTAAAACTATTATTGAAGAGTATGGGTTTGTAACAGTTTGTATTAGTTGATGAATACAGTTATTAATAGTTGAGTATGGATTTATAATGGCTTGTAATAGTTGAGTATGGGTTTGATGGTTTGTAACAGTTAAATATGGCTTTTCTAACAATTTGTAGCAGTTACATATGGATTTGTAATAGTTGGCAGTTAACTGATATCGACACAGCATGTATGTGGTGATGGGTGAACACAGTAAAATTTATTCAGGCTTGTGATTTCCTACCATACTATATATCAATATTATCAAAAACTTATATGTATAAAACTTTTTAAACCTTGGATTTAAAATCCAATCCAATAATGTAAAGGTTTAATTTATTTGGTGTGGTCCAATCCGGCCAGTATGCATAACAGATTATCTGGATCAAATTTAATTGGATTGGATTCTCATCCATTTACAGCCCTACCACAAATTTCCCCCATGATCGCCTTCTAGGTATATGCAATTATTCTAATAACTATAATAAAATTAATTTTTTTATATAGCTATAACAAGGATTAAAATATCGATATTTCTAATGCTGAAACATAATATCAGTGCACATCAATATGATCGATACTTATGTTTTTTTATTTTTATTTTATAATAATTTAGTAGTTGGAAGTAGCCCTGTAAATGGAGCGAATTCGAATCGAACTAGACTACGTTCAAATTTGATTTGGATTGTAGAAGTGATGATTCTAATTCAATTAAATATTCAACAGATGTGAAAAGTTACCAACTGAATTCGAATTTGACCAGTTAATTGAATATTCGAATTGACATAAAAAACCTAAGTCTTGAAGAGTAAAAACGAGCCTCTATTCACCGTAAACGAACGACTCAGGCAAATGAAAAAAGAAAGAAAACAAAACACCAAAAAAAACTAAAGCAAAACGAAGAACAACAAACGAAAAAGAAAACAAAACACCTAAAAAATCTAAAGAAAGCAACTAAGCCTCTAGTCATAGTAACAAATCCCTTTACCACCAGTAACATGAATAAAGAGAACAGAGTGAGAGCAAGAGAGATAGAAAGCGGGGTCATTCATCAAAAGAGAAACAAAGAGAGAACATTGAAAAGATGCATCAGAGAACTTGAAAACCCCAAACCTTCACCTAATTTTTCTGCAACAATGCCTCCAGCTACTGAAGTCTAGATGTCTCATGTGAACGACCACCTTCATACCGTAGAGAGATGGAGGGATATGGGGGAGAACCAGGAAAGATGAGATGAGTGGCAGAGATGGGGGAGATGAGATGAACATTAACATGGGATTACCCACTCACCACTATTGGTAATTAGAAAAGTAAAACTGAGTGGTCTTGTCACTCAAATGATAATCGAAGCCCGGTTTGATTTCACCTTTAAAAACTATTTATTTCAATAAGTACTTCTTTTAAGACATGGGACCATACATTAAGTAGTTTTTAAGTACTTCTTGTTAAAAGAAGCACTTCTTAAAAAAGTGACCTAGATGTAGTTTTTTTTTAGCTCTTTTAGAAGAAGTGTTTCTTCATTCGAATGGGACAAACCTGTCCATGTTTTTTAATGACAAAAATACCCCTGCACGTGATTATCATCCTCCTCCTCCATTTGAAACCTTACAACATACTAGATAGCGACGGCATTAGTTGTAGGTCCACCAGCAGCGTTCGATGGTGAGCAAAAAATGGCCGACAGACCTGTCATTTTGCTCTTATCTTTGTTTTTCTGTAGTATTCCATCGATTTGAGGCTATTTTTTGCATTTCTCTAAAGTTAGAAACTTCCCTTTTCTCTCTGGTCAAATATCTATGTTTGGGTGACTTCAGCAGCGATATCCCACCATCTAGCCGCTAACGACTAGAAGGTGAGTTTGCCAAAACTCCTCCCCTCCATGTTTGGTTTTTTTGGGTTTTATGGATGATAATTTTTTTTATTTGATTCTTTTGTGTTCATATGAGAAATCAAAAATTCTTTTGGACGTTTTTTTGTTAGAAACCATGCAAATATTTTGCTTAAGTTGGATGAATATTTGTAAATATTTGTGTGAATATATTCTTCAATTGTGATTGAATTTTTTCTTTATTTAATATGAATATTTGTGTGAATATATTCTTAAAGTGTGAATATTTGTGAATGTTTTTTATGAATTTTTTTTATAAAGTACTTTCTAGAAAGAATTTGTAAAAACTGCTCTCTAAAAGCACTTTCGAGCAGTATTTTATGAAAACTATGCCTTGAAAGTGTTTTTTGGAAGGAATTTATGAAAATTGATCCTTAAAAATGTTTTCTAGAAGTAATTTGTGAAAACTTCTCCATAAGAGCACTTTCTGGAAGTATGTTGTGAAATTTGGTCCTTAAAAGTGCTTTCTACAAGTAACTTGTGAAAATTGCACCATAAAAACATTTTCTGAAAGTATTTTGTGAAAACTGTGCATTGAAAGTGCTTTGTAGAAGTAGTTTGTAAAAATTATTATTATTATTATTATTGTTGTTGTTGTTGTTGTTGTTGTTGTTGTTGTTGTTATTATTATTATTATCATCCATGTGGCACTCCATGTGTGAGCCCATGTGGGCTCACATGTGTCATGATATAGTGATGTGGTGATTTTTCATTGAAATGTATATTATAATGATATGGAAAGCATTGTTTATAAGTATGTATGGAGTGAAGGCTAAAAGTGTCATTTAAACCAATATAAACACTTGTGAGGAAAGTAGGTCACCAAACATCCCCACCCCAATAAGTGGTTGGCAAGTGGGTCACCAAATAGCCTTTAGGCTCTATTAAAAGAAGCACTTTGAAAAAGTAACTTGTGCAACAAGTACGTCTTTTCCAAACCTCTTATTCACCAAACATAGCCCAAGTGTTTTTGTATTTTGTAAGACATGTAATTAAATGTCAAAAAGCATTAAAAGGAGAATATATATATGATAAAAATATATTATATAATATTATATTTATATTTTATATAACATTATATTTATAATATAATCGAATTAGAATATATATTGAATCGAATCAATATACATCCGAATTCGATTCGGTTATATCAAATCTCGATTTCAAAATCGGATTTTTGGATACCATTGTCACCTTTGGGGAAGAGGTCCAAAACCTTTTAACTATTTTAATTAAAAAAATTGAATAGTATCAAATGTATCATATCAATATTTTAATCCTTGATCTACACAACCGGGTGAGAGGAGAAGATAGTCCATCCCTCAAACCCAAAACCCCTCATCCCTAGAGAAGATAATCTTCCAGAATCACTGAAGAAGAGAGCTCTTCTCAAACCAGAAGCTTTGGCCCATTTTAAAGCACTGAGTATGACTCATTCTTCTTCTTGTTCCGGGCTTTGGACCATACAACTTTGACCCACTGCTGAAACAAAATTTTTATCCAGAAACAAGACAACAAAGCCTATTGCAGAAAGAAGGCTAGAGGAAAAAAATCCATCAGAAATTACAATGTGCAAATCTCTTGAACAGATAGAACATGGATGATGTGTGCACCCACATTGTGCTGTACAGAACTCATGTACCTGATTTCTTTTTGCCCTTAATTTAGGTGGTGTTTGGCACATCTTTCTAGTGTGTCTTTCGGTCTGTGGAAAGCTTAAAAGATAAAAGATGATTTTTTCACGTGGAAAGACTGAAAAAGCTGAAAATCGAGAAGCTTCAATGAAAGATCTACCTGGAAAGACAAGATCGTGATGTGAACCAAACGGTCTTGATCTGTAAAAATAATACCCCAAAAGCTAAGTGTGTCTTCCTGTCTATTGAGCTGCTGAAGATCTACCTAATAAAACTTGGGCCAATCTGAAAAAAGAAAACCATTCAGTTAACTTTAGGTTGCATTTGGAAATTATGCAAATGGAGTGTAAATCCCGGTTCAGGGCAAATTTTCACTCTGGTTCACTTTGCCTATGTTTGGCAACATTACATTTATGCATTGACAAATGACAGACCAATGCATTGATAATAAGATGTAAAAGTACATCAATAAAAAAGAAATAAATTTGCATTCAAGTGGGCTTTTGATAAAAAAAACCATAGGCTTTATTGAAATTCATCTTTGCATCCATTATAGCTAAAATTCTGTTTGATAAGAAGGTAAATTTGTCAGTGTAAAACTAACCCAACTTTGCAATTTATATGAACCACTTTACACTCTATATATTCGCATTCACTCTTATTTGTATCATTTCCAAACACAGCCTTAGTAACAAATAAGAACATTTCAGAAAAAAAAAGGAAATGAAAATTATTGGGCCAACCTCAACCCAACCCCAATCCAAGGATTGCTCTCAACCCAACCTAACCCTGCCCAACTTGAATCCCTAATCCTGGGAATTCATTCATTCAAATACGAAGCCTCATCCCAACATATTTAAGACTTCACTTCTAAGATATGGCATTTAGAAACTTTAAGTAGGGATGATCATGGCTAGGCCGGGTCGGGCTTTGCACTTATGATAAGGGATATAGCTTAGGCCTGGGCCAGGGGTTCCGGGCCTGTAACATAAGCCCTAGCCCAGGTCTACACGGGTCCGGGCCAAGCCGGGCCTGATTCCGAGCCAATGTCTTTCATATATAAAGCATTACATATCTATAATATTTTATGTTAAATGACATAACATGCATATAAACTTTTATTTTATATATTTTATAATATAAATTATACATGTCATGTTATAATATTTATATATAAAATATATAATATAATGTAAAATAACATGTATACATTATACACAAAATGTGTAAGTTTAAATATATGTAGGCTGACCTGGGCCTGGACTGGGCTTGAAGTATTAAGCCCAAATCCAACCCTAAAATTTGTAAGCCTGATGTGGGCCCAGGCCAAACCCGGAATTTCCGGGCTGGGTTGACATGATCACCCCTAATTTTAAATAATGGTTCAATTTGGATGAATTCGGGTTGGGCTTTTGCCAAAATTTAAATTGGCCTAAACTGAAGACCTGAGCCAAAACAGTTACAAATGCTAATTCGGACCAACCCTTAGA